AAAATTGACAACATTTGTTAATAAAAAGTAGGGCAGATAAGCTAACTATAAAACAAATTCAGTCAAAATATATTGGGTTTTTATATTGGGGAAGCTCTGCAAAAGTTGGAAGTAGTCTAAAATCTAATATTACAAACCTTGTCTTTCAACGTCAGTTCAGGTTAGAAGATATATTTTACCAAATACATTCCAAGCACACATTTGTTTGAAAATTAGACTATAAGATAAATTTAATGTAGCTAACACTACTGCTCTTGATTTATGAGTGCATACTAAAAAGTTAGTTCCTTTTAGGGAAATTATTCCAAGCTTTGCAAGTTGCCTACCTATTTTGCAATTAGTTTAATTTCCATTGAAGGGGGGAGGATATAGCTCAAATGATAAAGCGCATGCTTAGCATGAGTGAGGCCCTGGGTTCAATCCCCAGTACCTCATTTAAAAAAAATAGTAGTTAAATAAATAAACCTGATTACCTCCAGCCCCTCAAAAAAAATAAATAAATAACTCTACAACTTTGTCCCTTTGTCATGCAAAAATTATAAAATGCACTCAGTAAATTAGTAGCCTTGTTTCTGACAAGAAAAGTTAAATTTTCCAGGTCCCCGTAAATGCTTCTAAATGTGTTATTTTGTACACAATGTAAAGATAAGTAATAAATCTAAGTGTTCTGTATAAAACTTCCTGACATATTCCATTATTTTATGCAGTTTGATAGGTAAACTTTTAATAGTCATCCTTGAATGTTTATGTTAAGAGAAATATATAGCAACCATTTTTAGGGGGAGAAGATCAGAGAGCAGACTGTTGATTTAAACTATATTTAAAACAAACAAATATACAAATTTGATTAGGAAACAATCCATTTACGATTTCATTTGGACCAGTCTCCTGATAGTCTGAGAATTTTTGTGGTCCCATTGACACTGCAACTGCTTAATCTTTTCTGAATCTCCTTCAGAATCTCAGACATACCTGTTCCTGCTTCTGTGGCATTTAAGGTAACTAGTGCTTATTTTTTAACCATTTGTAGAATAATTAGTTTATGACAAAAATATAACTACAAACACATGTCATTTTCCTTTGTTTCTCCATCTTTTGACTTACACATGTGTTTGGTTGATTGATTTTTATTGTATTTTTAAATATATTTATATTTACTCCTTAAAGAAGTATGTGAAGGTACACTGTTTTGAAGAGGCTAAAGTATTTTTGGCTTGTTTTGTGTTTTTTTGCTATTGCTGCTGCTGTTTTCTTTTAGTGTTTGCCCAACTTCATTTTCCATTTTTTTCTGATAAGAGGATCTCCCCTTACAGGAGAAAGAACCACTCTCCAATTACATGTGTTTACGGGGATGATGATTTTCTAGCCACAGGTATGGACACAAAAACCCTGAAGGTCCTTGGATTAATATGGATGTTGGGTAAAAGAGAGTCTTGTTTTCCTCTGGGATCTTTGAGGTAAGCTTAAAGTTCTTGGTGCCCTTGTTGCCCCAACCTGGGGGACATGTATATCCAACAAAGAGAATGACAGAACCTAGTAATGATGGAGATAGAGAGGAAGAGAGAGAGTAACATCCACTGAGGCTTCTGTGTCGCTTAACCGAATTTGGGTTTGAGTTTTCGGTTTCTGTTATTTCAAACAACAACAATAAAAATAGTTTAACATAGCTACTTTTTAATAATATTGCACCTATATACATGTTTTACAGGTGTATGTACCACATACGTGCAGCACGCACCTCCTTATTTCCTTGCTTCCATGAACAATAGCTTATCCTAAAGGATCATTATATTGTTAGAGGAACTAAGTGTCTTTATCTTATATACTTTAGAAACATTGTGATCCCTTTTATAATATATATGGAATATTTATGTAGTGTATATAAATGTATATATAGAGACAGATAAAACACATGAGATCTATCTATATCCATCTATATGTATATAACTGAACTACCCTCTTGCTTCCAAAGCATTTCAGTTGATTGACAGATCTACTACAGGAGTTATTGCATTCTTTCTTGTATTGGTGTTGTTTATAGATGTGTTTACATATAGATTTCAAATTCCTTGGGTAAAACCTTTCTTATATGAGGCACCCAGGGCAAGACTACAAATGAAGGCACCAATACTAAATACTTAGAAATCATGAATCAAGCTAACCTTCTATTAAATAAAGCATGTTTTAGCCTCCTAAGTAGGTCACTATATATTTGTAATGAACTGGAAGGCCAAATATTAAGTAACAAGTATAGGATTGCCAGTGAACATTAGAAAACTGGAATTAAAAAAAAATGCTGCTACTCGTGAGTAATAAACTATCCCTTTTCTTTGATCCATGAATCCTTTATCTTCTGATGGCTTCTCTGAAACTGAGGCAGGCTCACCTGTTAGCTTCCAGGTAGGGTAAAATTCAAACTCTGGACATGGAGCAGATTGGTGTGTGTGCTAAATGACATATATATTTGCTAAATGGCTGTAGAAATTATTTTCTTACCACAATGATCTATTATTTAAGGCATTAGGTACTAACTTAAACATTTCTTTGCTTTTTTTAATTTTGTCTGTTTTTTGGATAGTGTAGTACAGATATAATTATTTTCATTAAATAAAAAGTAAAACCATCATAGGTAAGATAAGAAACTTGCCCAGTGTTACATGAGGAATATATAGAATCTGGATTGTCTTAGTCTCTGAATACCTCCAATATCATGAAGTATCAGCAAATCTACCAATAACGCAAGTTATAACTAAGATCACTGTAATTTGACAATAACTTACATGCTAGGTACAAAGAGAAAGCTAGAAGAAAAAATGTCACTCAAAATATTTACATCAACAGCATTAGAGCATATTTATTCGCCATTAGCAGTTATAAAGAAAGCACTTTGATGAAAGGATATTTAAGTCCTTTCTCAACATTATAGATAATAAAGCACTTTATTTGCAAATAGCACACACTCTGGAAATCATGTTACTGGCTACATAACAAAATTCAATTAGTTACTTTATTCTCTGCTGGACACCATTAGTTTCTACTGAATGAACTCTCATATGTACTGGCACCTTCAAACACATGCTTCTGTGAATGCATACTGAAATAATTAAAAAGTACTGCTTAATGCGTATTTAGTGGAAACTCTGTACATTAAAACTATATAAAATTATTAGAAGAATAGGAAAACACACCTTATCTCTGATTTTAGAGATTTTTTCCTCCTGCAGGCATATTAAATTCAGTGTTGCTGATAAAGGTTTCATACATTTTTCTTTTTGTGATTTGAGCACAAAATGTGTATTTCAGTGACGCTTTCCCTCTCTGTTATGTGACCTTGGCCAAACTAACAGTCTTCCTCTCATGCTTAGTTTTGGATGAAGCTTAGAGTTGGCATTCACTGAATGGCATTTGATTGGCTGGAAAATGATATGTATGCCTTTAAAATGCTAAGATACCAAGAGTACTAAAACAATTTTTGTGATTTTAATATTTAGTCTCCAAAATGTATTTAATTTTGTTACTTGAAATGATCCTAACATGAAAGTCCTCACTATAATTATAGTTTGGCTCTGATCTTGTTATGAACAACACTTTCGTATATACAGTAAACACAGCATGAGAAAACGCAGAGCCAGCACTCTGTCCTAAACTCAGTGGACATAAATCTGATGTCCTAACACTACATACTGTGGTTTGAATGGTACAGATCATCCCATCAACCTTCCAGGCCATAATCCTTCTCACTCGCTTCTACTTGACTTGGTTGAGTTCCCTTGATACCAGAACAAGATAAAAAGATTCTACCGAAAACAAACAAACAAAAAACACAAGGCCAATATCTTTGATGATTATACCGGTAAAAATTCTCAACAAAATATTAACAAACTGAATCCAATAACACATAAAAAAGATCATACACTATAATCAATCTGGATTCACCCCAAGGACACAAGGATGGCTTAACATGCAAATCAATCGACGTGATACACCACATCAACAAAAGAAAGGACAAAAATCATATTATCATCTCAGTAGATGCAGAAGAAGCATCTATTGATAAAATTCAACGTCCATTCATGATAAAGATTTTAAAAAAAAGAAAAAAACTGTTACCAATACATGTAAAGGCAACATATCCCAAACAAATGAACGCTATTTATGACAAACATAATAATCAATGGTAGTAAGCTGAAAGCCTTCCTGCTAAAATTTGGAACTGGACAAGGATACCCACTCTTACCACTTCTATTCAACATTGCATTGGAAGTCCTAGTCCTGGCAGTCAGACAAAAAGAAATAAAAGGGATCCAAATTAGAAGAGAAGAGGTAAAATTGTCACTATGTACAGATGACATAATACTATCTATAGAAAACCCTAAAGATTGAATACAAACACTACTACAGCTGATAAACAAATTCAGCAAGGTAGGAGGATACAGGGTTAACATAGAGAAATCTCTTATTTCTTTATGGTAACAATGGAATATCAGAAAAGGAAAGTTTAATAAAATCCCTTTTCAAATTGCATCAAAAAAAGTACTTAGGAATAAGTCTGACCAAAGGACTGAAATACTTATACACAGAGAACTATAAAATACTAAGGTAATTAAAGACAACTAAAAGAAATGGAAAGATATCCCATGCTCTTAGATTGGAAGAATCAGTATCGTTAAAATGGCCATACCGCCCAAGGCAATCTACAGATTTAATGTGTTCCCTATCAAGTTTCCCTGTACGTTTTTTTATAGAACTAGAACAAACAATCCTAAAATTTATATGGAATCACCAAAGATAACAAATTGCCATGGTAATACTGAAGAAAAAGAATGAAGCTGGAGGCATAACCCTCCCAGATTTCAGACAATACTACAGAGCTACAGTAATCAAAACATCATGTTATTGACACAAAAACAGACATATGGAACAGAATAGAGAGCCCAGAAATAAACCTACACACTTACAGTCAATTAATCTTTGACAAAGAAGACAAGAATATACAAAGGAGAAAAGATAGTCACTTCAGCAAGTGGTGTTGGGAAGGCTGGACAGCCACATGTACATCAATGAACTTAGAACACTCCTTCACATCATACACAAAAATGAACTCAAAATAGCTTAACAGCTTAAACATAAGACAATGCACCATAAACCTCCTAGAAGAGAACATAGGCAAAACATTTTCTCATATAAATTTTAGCAATGTCCTCCTAGGGCAGTCTACCAAGACAATCTACAAAAGGGGAGGAAATATTTGCAAAAGATGTGACTGACAGGCCTTAACTTCTAGAATATAGAAACAGTTCATACAAATCAATTACAAAAAGAAACGACCCAGTCAGAAAATGGGCAGACAATCTAAACAAACAATTCTCCAATGACAACATAGAAATGCCAAATAGGCACATAAAAAATGGTAAAAACCCTGATTATCAGAGAAATGCAAGTCTCAAAACTACAATGAGGTATCATCTCACACCACTCAGAATGGCCATCATTCAAAAGTCCACAATTGATAAATGCTGGAAAGGGTGTGGAGAAGCTGGTGGGAATGTAGTTTGGTACAACCATTATGGAAAACAGTATCGGGATTCCTTAAAAGACTTAAAATAGACTTACAGTATGATCTAGCAATCTCATTCCTGGGCATGTATCTGTAGGAAACTCTAATTCAAAAAGATACATGCACCCCAATGTTCATAGCAGCACTACTGACAACAGCCAGGTCTGCTGATACATGACTGGATAAAGAAGTTGTGGTATATATACAATGGAATACTACTCATCCATAAAAAAGTATAAAATAATGCAATTTTCTGCAACATGGATGACCTGGAGATTGTCATACTAAGTGCAGTAAAGCAGAAAGAGAAAGACAAATCATCTAAAAACAGGACACAAACTTATTTACAAAACAGAAACAGACTCACAGACATAGAAAACAAACTTATGGTTACCCAAGGGGAAAGGGGGTTGGGAGGGATAAATTAGGAGTTCAGGATTTGCAGATACTAACTACTATATATAAAATAGATGAACAGCAAGGTCCTACTATATAGCACAGGGAACTATATTTAATACCTTTTAATATCCTATATTGAAAAGAATATGAAAAGGAATATATATGTATGTACAACTGAATCATTATGCTGTACACCAGAAATTAAAACATTATAAACCCACTATACTTCAATAACAATATGTAAATAAATACATAAATAAACAAAAGTAAGGCAGCAATCTCTGTACATCCCAAACAACTTAAGAATACGATGGCATTCAATAAGCAATCAAGCTTAGGTAAATTCTGGTTTCATACCAACATCAGCCAAAGCCAAAAAGTGAGGGAGCCAGTTTTAAGCAGGATTTCTTATGATGCTATGAAACCATCAACTGTGTTTCATCAACCCTACCTCTCAATCCTCCTCAAAAAGAGGAGGTTGAAGGCGTAAAAATTTCTTAAAAGAGAGTAGTCAGCATTCTACTGCTCATCTCTCCGATTGATTCTTAGACATTTGGTGGGTTGTGGGTTTCTCTCTCACCTTAATCTGTGTCGGAAGGGTTTAGGGAGAACACCACCCAGAAGACCCCCTTGGAGAGATTGGCATGTATCTTCTTGAGTAAGGAAAATAAAAGGAATGTTATCTAACTTGCTTTAAAATCCCAAGGTCTGAGAGAGGCTGGTTCAAGTGACCTGCCTGAGAACAAGAAGATAAAGTATGGCATGGAAGCTTCCCTTTCAGAGCATGTTTGGACAAAAGTGTGAGTTTCCTGTGATTCAGATTCGGACTCACGAGGCAGTCCAAAACACCTTCGTGGATAGGCAGATTCAAGGCCATGGTTTCTGGTGCTACAGTTGGTGCCCCACAAAGAGGCTCAAGCTAGCTCACTCCCCTAATCACATACCTGCCAGATGTCCAGGCCTTCCTCCACACCCATAACTAAAACTGAGTGACGGTTGTGTACCCAGGACTCACCCACAGTCTTACCCAGTGTCCTTCCTGGAAGCTCTTATAATTACTCAGGAAATTGTTCCTTGTAATTTGCAAAATAATGTATTAACTGATAGTGGAGCGCTGTCTGAATGAAGTAGCCTTAGATAAAAGTGTATCCCCAGGAGCAAGGGGCCGACAGGGTCGTGCTAAGTCACCCCTTGGATAAGGCTTCATCTGAAACTAGGCACCTGAGATGGAACATTCCATTATTTAGGGGTGTCTAAAAAAAGAGAAAATGAAAGGGAGGGAAAAAAGGGGGGGGGAGGGGAGAACACCTTTTGAGTGAAAGAGCCAGTGCATGAATATTCTCCCAGAGGATGCCAACACTGGTTTACAGCAGTGTAAGCCATGTAAGGTTTGATTTTTCACATCTCTCTCTCTCCTGCCCTTCTCCTTGGACTCAACTCCAGAGTGGAGAATGTAGTAGCTGCAGCTGAAAGATGCCTGTGGCTGGGAGAAGGGAGCAAAGAGACCTCCACACCCCTTCCCTACTGCAAGCTTGGATTCTGACTGTGCATACCGTGGAGATGGGAGGAAAGCTCGTTGAAGAAGGTCTGAATGACATGAATACGTGTATCTTAGATTAGACTTTTTAATACCTTAGAAAGTGAGACTAATTAATACCCGTAAATCATGGAGTAACCTATGAGATCTGCCCAAGATTTTATCAAGGAATAGGAAAGAACAAGCCTTCAGAATGTGTTCCAAGAGAATAAATGTGAGAACAAACAAAATTATTTTTTGTTCTCAATCCACTAAGTTCAATGAATACATCAAATCCACCAACATAATTTCTATCAGTTGCTTCTTTCTTCTAAAACTGCTAAGCCTTTTTTATGGGTTTGCTTTGATTTCCCGAATAAACTTGAATTAGTTTTGAAAGTGCACTTTTTAATTCTCCAACCATGAAGTCTATCAGATAATAGCTAAAAACAATTAAAAAATACTTTAATTTTGTTTACTTGATATTATGTCAATTAGAATCTTTATCAACAGGCCAGTCCTATTGCACATGTACACTGTAATAGTTGGTCTCCTCAGAATGATGTGGTGACCTCAAAAGATCTTTTGTTACTATTAAAATGATGTCAAACTATATTCAGAATTATTTTAGAAAAAAGACACTAATGAACTCATCTACAAAATCAGAAACAGACTCACAGACATAGTAAACAATCTTACAGTTACTGGGGGAGAAGTGGTGAAGGGATAAATTGGAAATTCGAGATTTGTAAATATTAACTACTATATATAAAAATATATTAAAAAACAAATTTCTTCTGTATAGCACAGGGAACTATATGCAGTATCTTGTAGTAACCTTTAATGAAACAGAATGTGAAAATGAATATATATATGTATATGTATGAAACATTATGCTGTACACCAGAAACGGACACACTGTAACTGACTATACTTGTTTAAAAAAAGGATTATTTTGGTGTTAAGTGTTTCTTATTGTATTATTAAAAAAAGAGAAAATGCATGTAATGTATGTGGTTATGATAACTGTATTTCCCAAATCCCAAATCAAGAAATGTGATCTGACAAATGGTTTTTGGGCTGCATCCACATTGTTACCAGTTTAGTGTTTCTGACTGAATGCCTTTGGTCTAAAGAGCTGACAGAGGGAATATTAAAAATATGAAGTGTACAGGGAATATATCTGAATTATGTAGGGTAGATCACTTTAAGCGGATGGCACGACACTATCCATGAATAACAGAACCTTAGCTTGCTTTTCTTGCCTCTGCCTTTTTAGGGCTTTTTTAAAATCTGAGTCAGTTTGAGGGAAAACCTCCATTAGATATTACATTAACCAGTTTGTTTGCCTATTGACATTAAATCCCCTGGCATATTGCTAGATACAGAAACTTTGTACCACATCGTTCATTCAAAATTCTGTAACATGAAGGATGTAGGCCAGTTGGGGTAATCATATTTCCAGGTCTTGTTAATGCACAATTATTTAGCATTTTAATTCAAGTAATTTTCATTGGATAGAGATCAGTTATTTTCCTTTGTTTTGTGCTTATTTTCAAGTACTGTCATTCAGTATTTGTGTGTTCCATTCTTCCATTACTGTACTCCAGCTCAGAAAAGGAGACGGGGATAGTTTGGATCACTAGATCAAGCATTATCACAGTTCTTAATTATGTTTTGAAATGATTCCAAATGGCAGTATTCATCTAAGAGTAAACCAGGCATTACAGTGAAAGAGGTGTGAAATAGCCATATGAACACTCCTGATTCTGGTTCATTTTTCAGTTTACTAATAAGAACATCATTAACAAGAAAGCAGCAGGTTTTTTTTTTTCCAGTTGAAAATAATTACTGGAATACTCCAGCATCTATGTAAAATATCAAAAGTCATGGACTGAGAACGAAATACATCTGTATATATCTATACATTAAAAAGTAGTCAAACCTAATTTCAACCAATGAACACATGACTGAGTAAGGGGAATAAAATGCTCTTCATTAGTTATAAATTGAGAGTTTGGCCAAAGAAAAAGAAAAGTTCCAAGGCATAATGGACATTCTTACTTGACAGATACCCACTACCGTACTACAAATGAATCATCCAAAGGGAACACTCTGTCATTTAATGGTTTCCCTCTTAGATGTTTTCACTAATTTCATCAGAGTTTCTTAAATGTCTTGTTTTAAGGTCTGAGTATCTAGGTTAACTGTCATTCATTTTTATTATAGAACAACTTAAGTTCATATAATATTTTTTATCTTGCTTAGGGGGACTCACTAAACACAGCATTCCTATGATTTTTTTTTTAATGTCCTCAAGCATTACTTGGCAGTATAAGCTAAAATATAAGAAGTCAGTTTGGCTCAAGTTTGGATAGGGCTCTCCCCGCCCCCATGTCAAGAAAAAATACAACCCACAGTTTAGGTATTAATCCTGGCTGAATTTTTGTTTGTGATTTGTTAATAATACAAAGTAATACTTCACTAATTAAGGAAATATTAATTAATAAAATGTACCTCTTAGGAGCAATGCAAATTATAGTAAAAGGAATACAGCTGAAACACAAAAACATAAATGTTTAAATAGTCCCACAGAATGAGTTCCAAATAACGTAAGCTTATAATTTAAAAAGCCCTAAGGAAATGAAACCATTATGAATAAAAATCATCCTGTGTGTGGGGGTTGGAAACTCTCAGTAGAAAGAGACCTGCAAAGATGATATATATTAGAATTAAAATGTTTGTTTCATGTTTAAAGAAATAAAGGATATATTACTAATATAATGGGGTTCCCCTCTCACCTGGGATAAAGCTGGAAAAGAGTATTGCTCCTACTATAACAACAGGAAAATAAACTGTATCAACTATAAAATTACTATGTTTTCATTCCATCGAAGAGCTAAGTTTAAATTCCCAGAGCAGAGAAGTCCAAATTGGTGAAACAGAATACATGGCAAGAGAATGCAGCTCCAGCAGGTAAGAGGAAATTAGAATTTCGTCACATTGTTAATAAGATGAATGTGGGCTAGCCCAACAGTATAGAATCCTTGCGGGCCTCAGATGCAAGGGAATTTTCACTCAGTTGGTGGCTGTCTGTGGACCTCCACTGAATGCTCGCAAGAAAGCTTATGCAAGTCCGAGAAACTGGAGAAAGCCTCCTGTGGGTGGTACAGGCACACAGGAGGAAATCATTGATCACTACAGGAAGGCCATGAAGGGGCCTGCCTGGATATGAAACACTGAAGGGGCTGCCTTGGTGCTCACTACCTGCCCTCGCCAATCCCTATGCTCACCTTCACCCTTAGGATGTATGCTTGGTCCACAGCCCATCCCCTGCCACCCCCAGAGACTACACCTCCAGTGGGAGGAGAAGGCAGCTCACCTGGGAATGGTGTCAGTACCAGCCATTAGTATCACAAAAATCATCTCTGATGTCACATCTCTCAATAGCACCTTTGAAGTATTATCAGCCCACTTTATAGATGTGGAGGTGAAACTCAGAGCATTATAGTCACTTGCAGCTAGCTGAGTGGCAGGACAGGGGACTGACCACAGACCTTCCAGGCTCCCAGAGCAGTCACCATTCCACTAACTCCACTCAAACACACCACGGCAAGATACTGTTTTCTGTGTATCAGATTGGCAGTGTTCAACAAGTGTGGGGACACTGAGGTGGCACAAGTGTCAGGAAGCAGGCACTGAGGTTAGAGTGTAAATTGATACATCTTGTGAGAAGAACTGGGCACATCTATCCACAGTTGGTAGGTGCATACAGTGGAATTAAATAGGCACAAAGCCACTCATTGCATGGACACTTGAAATAGCAGAAGGCTGGAAACCACCTAGGCATCCATCCATTGGGAACTGGTCAAATAAGTAAGCAATGGTAAAGCCATGCAGTAGAAACCTTAAAGACACTAGGGGAAGAACAGCAAGTCCTGTCACTCTCAAGGCACAGGCAGATACCTATTATTGCTACAGGAAAGGAAGCAGAAACAAACCTGTTCTCCTGGGGAAACGGCAGGAGGAGTTCAGCACAGTGTCCTATGCCAATAGCATTAGAGACTCAGCACCATAGAAGGAACACCTTTCCCTCGTGGCTGAAGTGTAGAGACTTGCTGTCACGGGGAGGAGGTGCACAAGTGGTGAGAAAACTACAAAGCCCAGGCACAGGGCTGACCTGAGATGGATACTGGACCAGGGCAAAAGGGAATGGCCTCTGCTGTCTGTCCCGCTGCCCAGCAAGCCGTAAGTGACAAGCACTAACGTTCTTCCTTGGGGAAGGAGCAAGAGTCTTCTCTTAAGAAAGACCCTCTGTGTTGCAGTTGGGCAAGGATGGCTGAAAACTGAAGTTGAAACAGAAACATTGTTAAAAAAAAACAAAAACAAAAACAACCCTCTGGTAGCTTAGCTCCCACCCTAAAGACAAAAAATCATTTGAGCAATTTGAATTCTGTTCTGCACTAAGGGTAGCAACAGCAACCACACAACGTATATTTAGCTCAATTCCCAACCAGATGACTCGACACTTTAAACCAACATGCTCACAAAAGAGCCAAGCCCATTTCCAGGAATAAGTCCAAATTATCTCAGTATCTACTACTCACATGACACTTAATAGTCAATTTAGAAAATGTTATACACAGTAAAGAAAAAAGAACTTTTAGTTTGCTAAGATTTTTTTTTAATCAGAAATGGATTTGGACTTTTGAATAAATTTTTCGTTTATCTATTAAGATGATCATGTGTCTTTTGTTTTAGTTTAATACAGTCAGTTGCACTCATTTTCAAATTGATAAGAGAACCTTGAATTCCTAAAATAAAATCTACTTCGTCATGAGTATTATATTTATATATTGCAGGATTCAACTTAGTAAATTTTTTGCTTAGAATTTTTGCATCTAAATTCATAAACAACATCGGTCTTTTCTTTACATGTGATAGCTTTGATCATATGTTTTTACTGACCTCAGAGAATGAGTTCAGGACTGTTTTCTCCCCTTCCATTATTTGGAAGGAATTATGGATTTTGGTATCATTTCTTTTTTAAATGTTTAGAAGAAGTTATCTATGAAGCATTTGAGCCTGAGGTACTTTTTTGTTTGTTTTTGTTTTATGAAAGGTTTTAAACAGAAATTCAACTTCTTCAATAAATATTGACTGATTTAGTATTCTAATTCTTCTTGAGTACAGTGATAAACTGATAACAATGTGCATCATTTAAGAACTTTGCTATTTCATTAAAATTGCCATGTTTATGCCATAAAGTAGATCATAATAGTATCATACCTTTAACATCTGTCAGTCAGTCACCTTCTCAGAATTGATAGGGATATTCAGGGCCTTCTCTATTATTTTTCCTTATCAATCTTGCTAGAGTTGAACAGTTTTGTAGATCTTTTCAAAAAAAAAAAACCAGCTCTTGAACTTATTTTCTCTTTTTTTCATTTAAAAACAGCTTTTGTGTCCTCACTAATGCAATACATTTTAATATTAATCCTTGCTTTTGACCTACCTCACAGTGATTCACTTGGAATCATCTAAGCCAATGAACATAAAATTCCTCAGCATTCTGTTGTATGTAAATTTTGGTTTGGGTTGCTTTTAAAAGTTTTTTAATTGCATTTTTTGCACAAAAATTAATATGTGACCTGTAGCTGGCACTTCATTTTGATGAATTAACGAATGCATATACCAGAAAACAAACATGAATGTTTCTGTTTTTACAG